GACAGGATTTCCTGGTTCAGGGCAAAGGTCATGATCAATTACAGCAAACAGTCCAGATCCTGAAACATCTCAGTCTGAGCTTAATAAAGAATGCCTTAATGAATGTTAAACTGTCCTTTATGTCCTTTTGCTCGGGAGGGTCCTTTATGGAAGACCCAGAGAGACACTGAGAAAGAAAATCAGCCATTTTTAATCTAAAATTTGTATCATGCTATTTGAAATCCAATTTGTAATGTTTTAAATTTAATTATTAAAGAGGAATTGTAAATTGTATCTATTAATACATCATTAAATACTGGGATTTCAAAAAGGTGTTTTCAAATTCTATTTATAGGTGGAAATTTAAAAAAACAAAATTCATTAATAATTCTAATCATACATTTAAAAAGGTTATTCCTTATTCCATTTCCAATAAATATATTGTGACCCTTCTAATCTTTGAGCACACGAATCAAATCTGCTCTTCTTTGTAGTGTTATGATCCAACTATTGATGTCTAACCAATGAAAGCAGCTTTTTTTTTGGGGTTAATTGGGTTTTCAATGCTATCAAGGACCAAAAGGGTAACGGAAAAAGGTACATTTAGTGGGTAAAGCAAAAAGAAAACACAATTTCAAAAAGAAAAACATAAGGGAAATGGACTAAGGAATAACCTTTTCAAATTTGTACTTAGTAAAAGATATATAATTAGATATATGAATTTTGTTTTTAAATCTCCATTTATAAAGACGATTTGAAAATAAATTTTCAAATTCCATGATGAATAAATAAATAGAATTTACTTTTCCTCTTTAAAGGAAAATTCCGGTTTTTAACACTTTTAGCCCATTTTCTGTAGTGTCCAGGATGAAATCGAATGATCGACACCAAAAATTTTGACAGTTGGTCCTGTCTCTGCTATTTGGCTCATGCAGAATCCCCCCCTGGCTGCTTCAGAATGGCTTCCATAGTGCATGTCCGATAATGTCCTTAAAACAACCTTAAACGTTCTTTTTTTTAAATATGCTACTCACCGGGTCGTCATCGCTGTTCAATGACGTTCCAAAAAAAGTTTCGTAAAGAAAAAACGTTCCTGTAGTGTTTTATTTAGCATTTTGTAAATCCCATTGAGTTCTGTTGGAATAGTCAATATCCCTCCGCCACCGGAAACGGAAATGGGGCCTGTTTACGCTTAGTTGTAGTCTTTTCGCAAGGCCCAAGTGTTTCTGCTTCACTCTGTGTACTCCGACGTCGAGGTGCTAACGTCTCTGTTAAACACTTTAAAAAACTCTGAAAATGGAATACGAAAGGTGGATTCTTGAGGAGGACATATTCATATACATTCCCAAAGTATAGAGACATTGTCGCCAACTAGTGGTCTGGAGTGTGCAACGCTTCAGATTCGAACGGGAAGCGGAAGTTTATAAGCGGTTGTGATGTATCGGAAAAAATAGTTCTGGGATTTACAAAATGCTAAATAAAACAAGACAGGAACGGTTTTTCTTCACAAAACTTTTTTTGGAACGTCATTGAACAGCGCTGACGACCCGGTGAGTAGCATATTTTAAAAAAAGAACGTTTAAGGTTGTTTTAAGGACATTATCGGACATGCACTATGGAAGCCATTCTGAAGCAGCCAGGGGGGGATTCTGCATGAGCCAAATAGCAGAGACAGGACCAATTGTCAAAATTTTGGTGTCGATCATTCGATTTAATCCTGGACACTACAGAAAATGGGCTAAAAGTGTTAAAAACCAGAATTTTCCTTTAAATATTTAATTGAAAATGTGCCATTAGAAAATGCTTTTCAAATTGGATTTCAAATTGTATAATCTAAATAATACCCTATAACATGTTGTGTGCAAGAGAGCAAAAACATCAACAGCAAAAAATCAAAAAACAAAAAAAAAGATTTTTTTCACTGAATTCACTCACTGCTAAAAGTACAACAAATTGGACTTTGGCCTAAAAGGAAAAGAAAAATTTTTTCTTAGACTTAAAAATGATGCAAAAGTGAATCTATCAATCTTTTATTTATCATTCTGCTTGGCAATCCAATTTATTTCCAACTTTCCTATTTTATCTATTCACATCCATCTGCTCATCAAAGCCTGACTTGAAAACATTATATATTCATTATAGCAGGCAATGCAAAATAATGAATAAAAAAAAGAAAATAACACTGAATCCTTAAAACGTTTTTCTCTTGAATTTTTCAATGCAAAACCTGTTTATTGAGAAATTCCTTCTGTATGGACATCTAGGGACAAGGGGAGCAAACATTAGTTGAAATCATTATAGTAATTAACCCCAGATTTGTTTTTGATTTGAAAGAAAAGAAGCAGATTCCAAAATGTGTGCTTTTGTAGTGGATTTTTCCTAATAAATATAAACAGTCAAAATAATACACCCAGGCTCAAATATAGCTGCCACTAATAGTATATAACGAATATAAACATGTGAAGGACAGCTGAATAAAGAGCTCTCAGGAAATGTCTTGCACAGGAAGCTATACGGCTCCAACTGCCACAAACTGGAAAATGCTGGAACATTAGGGTCACAATTCATTGTGAAGCTGACATAACATCAGCATGAAAAGCATGACAATTTAAATTGCTTCTGGATAAACGTTTTGTGAAGGAAGACAAAGACTGGGATTTTTTAACCACTACAGTACATGAACGTTTGAGGGGTTAAAGGTTAGGCAAAACCAACTGTCATGCATGGCAGTGGTAGGGTCATGCTGTAGGGGGCTCAATAACGTTGCATTATCGATAAAATAACTATGACAACTACTGCCATTTAGCCTAAAATCAGTTGTCCAATAGATAGTTGGACAACCAATAGTTCAAAATTGTCTGATAATCCAACAGGACACAGAAAGAAACTGGTTTTGAACTGGTTAAGCAGACTAACATTAAGTCATTTCCCAAAGCTCTGACTTCAGCAGTGCTGAAATGCATGGATCACTTAAAACCGATTTTGTTTCTGGTGAAGAACCGTTTGCATTCTGCTCACCAATATACCTGACAATTTGACACCGCCTCAAAGAATAACAGCTGTTACACCTCTGATGAAGGCGGAAGTTACCAACGAAACCAAGAAAAAAAAAGTACTAATAAATATAAAGTTTATTAAAAAATTTCATTCTATCCTCTTACACCCTAAGGCGGTATAAATAAATTTCTGCCTGACAAAAACACACAAAAGTAAATAACTTATAGCCTCAAAGCTATTAGATTTAAGAAGAAACTTTTGGCATGTCTGTAAAGGTAAGATGTCATAGAATGGTTTTCTGGTGTCAGCACCATTGTAGCTTTGACCCTGCCTGAAATATTAGGGACAAAATACAAAATATTTTGCATTTTTTGAACCTCGCCAAAATTTTCTTTGAAATAAACATTGCAAAACACTACCAAAATATTATTTATAGCACAAAAAAGTAGTACAGACTTTCAAATCTAAATGTTGTGTAAAAATATACCAAATTTGGACTCAATCAGATGAATCATATTTATTTTAGAATGGTATTAGTGAGAAATTTCTTAGGCGGAGAGGCCATTTTGGCACATTTATCCATAAATGTCACCAAACTGTGCCAAATATGTTTTTTACATCAATACTGGGGGTTTTGGTAAAATTACGAGGTCACGTAGCAGCTGGACCCGCCGGTGGGTCAGTAGGGTTCAAGGGGCTATTTTCATTATGTGATCATTTCACCATGATATAATAACAGTTTAATTATATATCTAAAAGCCCTGAAGTAATTATAATAAGGCAAAGGATGTTAGGAATCCAATTTGTGTGGGTTGTTTGTGTGTTTTTCTCTCTCCACCACCAGGTGTTGCCCTGTCCTCGTTGGGCCTCCCTGCACACCTGTGGCTCGTTGGATCATTACTGGAGGAGTATTTGAGCAGTGGGCTGTCACTAACTCGACGCCAGAGCGTTTGCCAGTTTTGGGTTCTTTAGCCAAGCTGAGATTAGCTGAGTCTAACCTAAGCTTTGTTTCTCTGAATCTTATCTAGTTTTTGTCTTTGCTCTTCAGCAGGAAGCCTTCCTGAGTAACTGACGTGAGTCCCTCTCCAGTAATATTTAAGCCAAATTTCCTACGGTACTTGATCACTGTGATCTCCCCTTCAGACTTTCCAGTTCCGGTTCACCAGTCCACTGAGTTCCAGATCCAACTTCTGTTATTAATCTACATTTAATAAACCTGTTAAACTTTTTCCCTGGGCTCTGAGTGGTTCTCTGCATGTGGGTCAGATTGGTTAAACCAATCATGACAAAGGATAGGTATGTGTAAACTTCCTACTGCAAATACAATAAGATGTATTTATGTTAATGTATGGAAAGTAAGTATATAACACGGCTGGACTGAGGATGATCTCTTGAAAGCTCATTAGGGGGTCATTAGAGGAGGAGGAGACAACTGATTGTTAAAACCTCAAAAGAGAGTAAAATCAAATCCCAAATTGATTAATGTATTTCATATAAGTTGAGCATTATTGGATTGGCAATAAACTGCTAAATAAATGAATTTCACATTTAAATTTAAAATATTTTAAAGAGGTGTCAATATTCCTTTCAGCTGTGACTGAACGATGAACTGGAATCAGATGAGGGAGTTTATCATTTAAAAAGATTATGTAACTTTACAATTGCTCATACCTGAAGAGGTCATGAAAAAAAGCAATCAAATCTTCCCCTCAGAGTTTGGAAATGACCCAATGTTAAATATATTTGCTACTAAAGAGAAAGTGCATTCGATTTCGTTATTATTTTTCCATCCGAGAGTCCAATATGAATCCCAGACTTTGTCAAATCTCAGAGATTTAAAAGTTAAGCCTGGAAGAAAAACGTGTTCAGGGATCACATTTATCACTCTTAACATGAAGAATGTGTTGTACTTTCCAGCTCTTCATGGCTGCTTGGCACTTTAGAGACATAATGAAGACTAATTGCATCAGCAGGTTGTGTTAGACAGGTTCGCACTACAAATGAAGGAAAGACCAGGATCTTACCACTAACACAAGGATCATGGGACCTTGGTAGATGTAGTCAGTGTAGACACCGGGTCGCTTCCCAAACCAGCACCTGAAAAACCAACAAAAGCATTTTGTCAAGATAAGATACGGCTAAACAAGATAAATTGGAGTTTCATTACCTAATATTCAGCAGTATCGTGTCTATTCAAAGTATCTTTGCAACAGATGAAACAAAAAAATGCAAGACATTGTCTAAAAATAGAGAATACAGAATAGAACAATAAATATACACAGTGCCCTGCAGCTCACAGAATCAATTAATTATGTTGAGGATATTTCATGCAATTTTTTTGTTACTTTTAGAAAATTGTTGCAACCATTTTATTTTCCAGGTCCTGATGGTGTCAGTCACAGAGCCCAGAACAACATATATACCAAAGGTAGAATTTTTCACTATTTCATCGATCATAGCTTTTTTCACTTTGAGATTATGCAAAAGCTAAACTTATTTTAAGGGTTGCTGCTAAGTGGGCCTTGTATGTATTGCTAAATTTGATCAGTAGTTTTTCTTTTTAAATTGAATTATTTCAATGTGAAGCCAAAAAAAAAAAAAAAAAATCCAGTTCTGTTTTCTTGCCCTTTGTCTGTATTTTCCTGTAGACTTGTTCACTGTAGCTAATGGGCAAACAAACCAACTCTCTAGTATCTGTTAACATACATGGCCGTTAAATTTGATTTTAATACATTTGGTGCTCCAGTGAGTTTTCCTTGCAGCAGGATGGTCCAGTGGGAGGGAATCACTATCACTTTGTGGTAATAAAGCAACATGACCCATACATCCAAATAGTCTCAAGAAAAAACCAGGCTCTGCATCCTCTGGGATTTTGTTTCATGTTTTTTTTTTTATTTTGCCAACAATCTAAAAAAAATAAATCATCAGACTTGTTCAGAGGATATTCTTACCCTGGTAATACACGGAAAAGGAGAAAAAGCGCTCCCAATCAAAAGGAAAATGGTGTCAGCACTTATAAATAATGCAACCAGTTCTACAATGCTAATTTAATTACAACAGATAATTAATACACATTCATTCTCTTAATGTAATTTGGTTTGCCGTTGGCCTTTTCCTTTTATTACCAGATTAGTTCAGTCTCAAATGTCAAAAACGGTGTTTAGAGTCAACAACTTACTTCTCGTTGTCATAGTACAGCTTCCCGATGGCCCACGCCACAATTATAGGGAAAGGTATACCTGAAGGGTGAAAAAAAAACACACACAGAGTGATGGATTCCTCTTCACCCTTCTCTGCTAATCAAGTCACATAGCTTTTCAGGGATTTTTCACTGAAATATGAAATTCATGTCCTTTTTTTCCAGCCAGAGCATCAACGCCTGCCAAGTACTGTCAAAAGGAATAGCTGTTTGCATGCCGCTATCCATAGATGCATGCCAAGGCTTGTCACCATCCGAATGTTTCTGTGTGTACGAATAAAGAGCAGATGATAATCCAGGGGGATGTGATGATTTACAGGCTTATAGAAGTTTAATAAGGCATACAAACAGCAATTACCAACATCTAAATGACACTAACAGAGGCATCAAATGGCCTTACAAGCTTTCACGTCACACATTCGAAGCTCAAGTTTCCTAATCTTGAGAGACTTTCTGCCTTATTAGTCACTGACCTCAGCAGTGAAACGCTAGACCTCAATAAGGTTTACTCACAAAGCCCCATCCAATCAACCAACCTTTATTTTTGTGATAAAACTTTGGGATCTCAAAGCTAGAAAGTTACTTAATGCTAGAAAAAAGTGAGCTTTTATTTGTGGTTTTCACAGCAGCTCTGGAATGTACTGCCATCATCTCATAATGCAGAACGTTCCTGCAGCAAATGCAATTTGGCCAACACACAATACACCTAATCTCAGCACTATAGAGCCTGGCTTGACAGTTCCAAACGGAGAGCTTGTGAATTTTTCACGATACATTTCCCAGCTGCCACACGAAATCCCAGTGTCTCCATCCAGTTAACTCTCCTATTGTTGGCAAAAATTTCATCTGACCTTTAGTTACGTCTGCTGGGATTAAACGAGCACAAAGTGAAGACTTGAGCATTCAAACCGTTTATCGTGAAACACAATTTCTCCCAATAAAATGACAAAAAAAACCAACAAAATAAGCATATTACCGTTTATGTCAGATTAGTTTTTTCAAACTTACTGAAAGATAATAGGTAGGTAATTTGGATGATTATTTTACTATAAAACGTTTTACTTTAATCTTCTATCATTAAAACATGCAAATGCATTTTTTAAGCCAAAAAGATGAGTTGTCAATTCCAAATAATGTTTTGTAAATCTGCAAAAACGTTTTGTTTGGTTTTCAGATCTAGTTTAAGTTATATATGTTGCATTTCTCATTAAATGTAGAAGTCTGGAAACAAATTTGTCTTGGTTTAATTTCTTTTGCATGAAAAGCCTTGAATTTTACTAGAGGTTTGAAGATCATTGCTTCTACATATAGCAATGCGATCTTAAGATCCTTCTAAAATATTTTTTTTCATTCGATTTTTTTAAAAGACCAGGGTTACCACAAAATAAAACTGTTTTAAATTCGACATTTCTTTAAAGTTAAGATTAATTGCTGATGTTAGCTTCTGTAATGAAAAACATAACTAACCCAATAATAAGCAACATTTAAGCATGTTTCTGCATGATTTTAGATGGTAGATAATTTTTTAAAGATTCTTGATTGTATCTAAACCCGAACAGCAATAATCTCAGCAATAATTCATTTTTAAACCCCTTAGCAAACAGCACAGTTTTCTGTTGTCTTGTTTCAATTTGTCTAAAAATACATAAAAAAGTCAGTTGTACTTCAGGAGAGCCAATGTATGTTCTGCACATTTGATGATAATATTGTTCCTTATTTATCTGACTTCTCCCTTCTTTCTAGTTGCCATTATTAACTTGAACCTGATCCTACATCTAGGGCTGCAGCTAACGATTATTTTTTGAAAATCAATTAATCTGTAGATCATGTTTTCCATAAATTGATTAATAATCGGATAGCCAAAGGTTCCTTAAAGAAGATTTTTAGACCAGTTGAAAATAAAACGTTTCCACTTGAGGAGTTCTGGATAGAGCATATTGGCAGACGAAAAAGTTTTTTTTTTATGTTAAATGCAACATTTTTATATATATATATATATATATATATATATATATATATATATATATATATATATATATATATATATATATATATATATATATATATATATATATATATATATATATATTTTTTTTTTTATTTTTTTATTTATTTATTTCTTTTTATATATTTACTGTTATAAGTGGGTCACTCTATCAGCTAAAGGCATGTTTTAGAGTCTCTATACTCCAGTTAACGATGAATTGGTTACTAAATTAGTTGACGATTATTTCAAAAAAACGATCAACAACGATCAATCCGATTAATTGTTTCAGCCCTACCTACATCAGTTTCAAGTTACTACATTTTTGCAATAACACCACTGTTTACAAAATGTATTTGCCAAAATACGCACTGGCAAGGGTTAAAGTTTTTATACATCTAGATTTGAGTATTTCACAGATGTTCGTACACCAGCCGATGCAGATGAACATCCACTTGCGGAGCTTGTCAGTAGAGTATGTGAGCACGATGGCAGTGTGGAGGTAGCAGCCTTCTCCAAACATCCAAAAAAAGTTGGTGGAGTGGAAATAGTTGAATGATGCAGTGACAAGACGACACCAAATCTGAGAAAATAAAAAAATACAACAGGTAAACCTACATCTGCAGAAAGAAATTATCCATGTAATTAGATCAACAAAATTTTTTTCATGACATTTTCAAGCAATTATTTAATGAAATCATTTTAATATTCAGACTTTGGCCGATCTATTATCTCATTCCCTTTAAGTCTTCTAATTCATAGTTCAATGAACATATATTGTATGCTTTTGCCAAATAGATTATATTAGATCAACTATTAATAACGTAAGATCTTAAGAATATTTGCTACTTATGTTTTATAAATCTAAAAGAATTATTGAAATGTTGGTCATCTTTAGCAAAACACTATTTTCTGAACTTTGATTGGTGAGTTTAATTTTATGAGAGTAATAGTTAACTTGAACTTTGCCAAACCTGAAAAAAAAAAAAAAAAAAAAAATACTTGTTTGGCCAAAATGATTTTAATCAAAGATAAAGTATCAGCATATGGAAACAAGAACAAGTTGGATATAAAGTCAAGACATTTGATGCTGTGATGTTTAGATAAATCACCACTCACCACATTGCTTTCGTGCACCTCGGGGCTCATGGTGAGTTGGACAATGAACCAAGTGGCGTTCCTCAGGATGAAGGCGGTGATAAGGTTCCAGTGGATGATGTTTCGGAGGCATCGAATACTCCTGAAAGAAAAACACAGGAGGGAAAAAAAAACAGAGCTCTTACATGATAGCTGAGACCATGTGCAGAACCAGAAATGTACCAATTTAAATCAGAGTCCACCCATCAGATCACTGCTAGATAATAAAAAAAGATTTATCAAAATAATTGGAAGTTTGAGAAAAATCTAGATATTTAATCTCCCAATGCTCCTGATAGCTAACTTGAACATAAAAGTATGATTTAAATGTTGTTTTTCCACTCGTGTCATGTGCTTAAAGTGCACTATTTTTTTAATGATGTAAATAAACCGACCCTGGGATGCAATTAAAGAATCTGCCTAAGTGCCTCTAAGCGTGTGTTCCAAAATAGAAACACACAGCTGAATGGACAGAACAAGCCAACCCCAGTCATTGTAGTGACAGCCTCATTTGTCGTCACCATCTGACGGCATTATCAGCCAGTCAAGGCTGCTCTCTCTGAGGTTGAGCGCAAGCGACATGATTTATTTTTTAGCACGCATACATTTTTAATAGGTGTCACTTGCACAGGCTTTGCACTGGCTGTGTAGGTGAGCATGACCAGGAATTTTTCAGTTAGTTAGATTAGTGATTTTATTAAGCATCCACAGTAAAAAACAAACAAAAAAAAACTCATCAATACTCCTAAGTAGGATCCCTCAAAGTAACTTAATTAATATGAAAGTTTAAAAGGCTAAAAATAAAAACATTTACAGCTTCATTAACTGTTTTGTTTGAACATTAGGTGTCTCATTTCTCTCTGGTTCTGCTCTAAGGATTAGTGAGGCTGCTGTGCCAAAACTATGGGAGCTTTTTATTTAAAAGGTCATATTAATTATGATGCATGACCTCACTTCCTGTGCCAATGTGCCGTTGGGGCCTGCTGGGTGTTAATTACAGGGAAATGTTGTATTCCTCTGCATACAAACCTTAATGATACACTGCACCGTGCATTAATTGTTTTACTTGATCTTATTAAGCAGCAGTCACAGCAGTTTTTTCAGCACAAGATTACGCCTACCATGTCTGTATTTGAGTAATCAAATGCATTGTGGATGATATTGTAGGACAAATTAGTCCTAAATAAAAGCTTTTTTTTATTTAATGTGACGATTACATGCATGTTATATCTGTCATGATCTGCTGTGATAGCTGGCCTTAATTACTCATGCCGTTCACTTGCTTAACTCTTTCCAACTCCTAATTATCACTCATCTCATCCACCTGCCAGTTGTCCTTATACAGGGCTCAGTCCCAGCTATCATGGCCAGATCATTAGATGTTTTTTTTTTTTTTCTGTTCAGTCTTCCCAGTTTCTGTTGATTCCAAGGTTCATGTCCTGGATCTCGGCGGCCAGTGGAAAGAGGTTTTTGTGTTTGTCACGTCTCCTGTTCATCCACTGGTCCTCCCCTGCTGAATCTTCTGGTTTTTTGGCCCTTTATGCGGGGAGGATCAGTTTTTATTCCAGTAAGCCTAGGTCCAAGGTGGAGACCAGTTAAAAGGTCCTGTTTAAGTACTGCTTCCACGTCCTGTTTCGGCTACCCTCTTCCACTGAGCCTGCCCGTCAGCACCTGATCCTTTCTGCTCCTGTGCGGGCCCGCCTGGTCACGCTTCTGGACTCTGAACCTGCATGGGAGCTCTAGGATGCCTGGAAGCCTGGATCCTGCCTGTTCTGTCTGTTCTTGCCTGTTCTGAATCATTGTCCAGGATCGGCTTCCTGCAAGTTCTCTGGGACTTCTGCACCGGGGACACTCAGTGACGCATGCCGCGTCTGTCTTCAGTCCAACGGCTGGATTGCGCCCCTTTCCAGGGGGATGGACTGAACTGTTAAACCAGAGTGTCAGAGATTGGGCGGTGCCCCGCCCCCCTCCTGCAGCATCCGTGAGCCGCAGATCCTAGCAGCTCCACTTTAGTTTTGTTTTCATTTAATAAACGCTTTGAACTTTCCTACTGACTGTCTCACCTTGAATACTGGGTCCATCTGTCCCGTGTTTATGACAATATCCTTGGAGTAACCTTACGGCCTGAAGGGAGTATTGTGTCAGACATCAAGAAGTAAACGGCCTGTATTTATATATCACTGTAGGAAGTCTTAGGAACCCAAAGTCAACATCAAGGCAGGAGAACTGCATTTCCTATTGACATAATGACTGAAATGACAAAGCATGACTTGGCAACCAACCAGTTACAGGATCTACCCCTAAAATGTACTAAATTTTCAGAAGACTCCCTTTTCCAACATAACCTGAATTTTTGTTTGCAATGTAATGCAGAAAAGCCAAGACTGTCCCAATGAACAATTGCTGTACTTTGCTCGGTGTGATCAATCAGATTATCATTTCTTTCAATTTAAAAAACATATCTGGAGCCCAGACTTATTTGAGGAAACCCAAAGTATCTCATTTCGGGTACTAAATCCTAGAAACATGTTTTCAATGTCAAAACTACTGAGGAAGTCTACAAGCTGAATATTTCATCGTTTCACAAAGTGCAACTCAAACATGATGAAAAAGGGAAATATTTGGGTCATTTGGTCATGGAAGATTCATGTGCTGTGTCAGGACTGTAAGTAGAACATAGAAGGAGATGTGCCGAGCAGACATTTTATACATGAACAGATGAGATCATTTTAAGAGCTTCTTGTGTTCCTATTCATAAAAGCAGAGGTGTCAAAAGAATTTCTATTTATTACTCAAATAGAAGTATAATTCCTACTGTTTGAAAATACTTTTATAGAAGTCAGAGTATCAACTTCAGCTTTTTACTCAAGTAAAAGTGTAAAAGTACCAATTTTAAAACTAAAGTATAACAGCAAAAGTAATGCAGGAGAAAATGTTAAGGATAGATGCTGATACTTAATTTTCTTAGTTTTATAACTATTTGGTAAGTGTCAAATTTAACTTTGCACCATCTTGAAAAACTGTTTATTTTGGTTTGAGAAGCAAATGAAACAAAACTAACAAGTCTATTGTTAAACTGTAAGAAGTAAAAAATAGAGAAGAGTAGAAAGAGTAGAACTAAAAAGTTGTCTACAAAATAATTACTCCAGTGAAGTATAGATAACCAAAATTTGTATTTAATAAGGTAACAAAGTATTTTTACTTTGTTACTTGAGATATCTATGCATAGAAGCAATTAATGTATAAACCCTAACTATTACCGACATATGCCTAACCCTAACTCTTACTTGAACTGAATTCATTCCTTAGTCCTACACCTAACCCCGGCTCAAAGAAAAGAACTTTGCCACATGTAGACCAGGATTTTGGTCCCCATAAGGACATAGGTCCCCATGACTTGACTGTGTAACCAGATTAAACAGATTAAAGTCCCCACACTGTCATAAAAGCAAGTCCATCTGACAAATTCCTTACATATTATATAAGAATCACCAAATATACATTGCAACTACACAGGATTTAGATACTTTAAACTGCCACTGCTGTTCTTGTTAAGTAATCTGTGCGCAGCCTCTCATTAACAGGGAGGCAGTATTGATTCTTCTGCAGCCCGGTCTAAGCACCGAGGACAGGGATTGCAAGCAGAAGAGTTCCCTTACGATCAGAACGTCCTGCGTGGACTCCCCTTCAATAGAGTCATGGTATTGCATAGTAAGCTATTAACTGGAAGAGCATACATCACTTCCAGTCCCCAGTGAGGAGCTTCAGGGTGAAGATTCATTAATGTCAGTTGAGTTCGAGGATTCCTTGTAAACTTTAAGTTCTTAAACGTGGTAATCCATGATTGAATAAAAAAAAAAAAAATCTGATATATCAGGTTTAAGACAAATCAAAACTATTAGAAAAACACAAATGGAAGCAATTTCTATGTTTGCAAAATGATGAAAATAATTCAGTCATTGTGCACAGAGTCTGCTTAAAGTCTGGAAGTTGTTGTTCCACTAAGTTGTGTTACTACTTATGGAAATGTGTGAATGTCAACATCTTGTCCACCTTATAAATCATTAAAGTTGATTTATTAGAAAATATTCACCTGATCTCATTTCATTTTAAAACATTTTCTTTGTATTTAGATGAGTTTTAATGTTGATTTAAACTCATCTAAAAGAATGTGGATTTTTTTAAGTTAAAGTTAAGTTAAATTTGGGTTGAATTTCTGCACATTGCAAAGTTCATTTTCATACATCATGAGTACTTGTTTTTTTTACTGGTGGACAGGGTATCTCCAGCTGGCTAATGCATTTGTTTAAAATCTTCAATGCCATAAGAATGCACCAAAAATAATATAGACAATTAATATAGACCTTATCTCCCTCAGAACGGTGCTGGAAAGAAGTTCATGTGGGTTCATGCTCTTCCAGGAAAAAAAACTGTGCTTGTGCATATTTAACCTTTTTCATCCTGCAGTAGCCCCTCTATTTCCTAGTGCTTCTATTTTTTGTTTACATGGCCCAAGTTAGTGTAATTTAGTAGGTTGATTTTATTCTAAAATTTAACACAACTTTTCCCCAGCTGGTTGCCTGACCTTTCCTGTTTTGCTACTATATTCCCCGACCCTTAACATGCACACGCTAAAGCGTTTGGTCAAACTTAATTCCTCTTTCTTTTTAGCTGCACGGCCTCAGTAACCACACCTGCACTGCACCGGGGCTGATGAGATTTTACACATTAATTTGAATGATTTGGGTTTCTTGCAGTGCAGGCACCACATGTACTGCATTCAGTATGAGCCTGGTGTTTACCACCTGGATTTTCAACAAAGATCTGCAGTCTGTGATCAAACCTGCAGTCTGTTTTTATGGAAGGCGCTGTAATTGTCATGGGCAGTTGTGACTTTTTGTTTTAAAGACACTACCTTAAAAAAGGTTGTGCTGCTAAACAGTTGCCTCACTAATTAGTTAGTTGGTTCTGATAGCTTCCAGCAAAAGTTTAACTACATTAAAAAAGCACAGCAACTAATGCTAGCTACTATATGATTTCAGTTTTTCACCTAGAAATTCAGTATGAAGCTGTATTATTGTTAATCGTAGGTCAGAGAAACCC